ACATTACTAACCACCGAGGAACGGCATTTAGTTCTTGGCACTGCAGACCGAATAGTTGAAGAACGCATAGCTGCAGGCGGAGGAGGGGGAAGAGAGAAAATGGAGTGGGGCAAAACTGAAAGAAAAAAAATCGGCACACGCGCTCCTGCCCTACACCCATCTGTCACAACTTGTAACCACATGGTGCCACTTAGGAACCATTTGCTTACTTTGCCTTTTGCCTATGGGCTAGAATAGCTAAAGGAAATGTAGCCCCACTACTCCTGAACTGCTTCTGGATTTAATCACCATCCATCTTGATCTAAGGAGTTGGAGTAAGTTTTCAGTAAGCAGCACAGCAGTCCCTATTTGGAGAGTCCGGCCACAAGGCATGCATCTCACTGGTCAGATCACTGACAGGACATCCACTGTGCAGCCTTGACAGACAAAATGAGAACAGCTCTTCACCTAAAGGAGCTTGTGCTTTGGAAAGACAAACGAGTGGCAAGAGTGGTGGAATTTACAGGGTAACATCTTCATGACAGGAGCTGAACATATCTAAAATTTTCATTAAGGGGCTAAAAATCAGATACGTAAGCTTGTGTCACTGATGAAGTGAGCTAGGGGTTGTGAAAGCTTATACTTCTACAAGTCAATACTGGGTTAGAGAGAACTTCTAGAGCCCCCCCACCCCCACCTACACAAATGGAATACAATTGTGAGCAGTATTTTCCAAGCCACCTTCTACATTACCTTTTATTACAGTAGGTAGAACACCAACAGCCACTAGGCCATTGGCAGCCACTTACCATATGCCTCCTCAATGAGGCTGCAGTAGGGGTTGATGCCTGTGCCGCTTTGCTTGGCTTCCTGCTCACCAAGCCGCAGGATATTTTCCAAACCATTCAAGGCCACTTGAACAATCTTGGAGTCCATGACAGTTAGCAGGTCACAGAGAGGTTTGATGCAGCCCAAATTTACTAGGTACCTGTACAGAAAGCACAGGGAAGGTAAGCCTTCTATTTGGCCAGATGGGAAATGGACACCGTGGTAAATTCAGGGGGTTTAGGAGACAAAAGGCAGGTTTAAAAAAAAAAACCCCCAACAGTTTCTGTAAAGTACCAACTAACAGAACCTATCCGTCCTCACCACTAGTTCTCAAACCTGGTGCTTCAGTCTGTACTTAAAACAAAGTCAGGACTCCTATTTAGCTTGCCAGTACTTAATCCCCATTGAAGTAGGTGGGATCTGAAGATGCAGCTGAGCATCTCAAAACACAGCTTGCTATTTTAAAAGAGCAAGTTGGATCTGGCCTCGCCTGGCTTGTCCAAGTTGCCTGAACAGCAAAAAAAGGAAACTGTGAAGTCATGTTAGTCTGTATCACTTGTAGCATCAGCACACTAAACTGACAAATGCATTCATGACTAATTCCAGTGAAACATGACCGGGTTTAGTGACTTAACAATGCACTTTTAATGGCTTAGCCCAGGGGTGTCAAACTTACAGCCCAAGTATGTGTTATTCCAATAATTTTCATATATCAAGCCCCCCACATCTCTTTATTCTTGAATACCATTTTCCTACTGGTCTGTTTAGAAATGTAAAATCATTCTTAGCGGGCTTGTGTATAAAGAATCCATATTGCACAAGAAAAGAAATGAAAGCTAATGTAAGTGAACTTAGAGAAGCAACAACATTACAAGGGCTTCTCAAATCTCATTTAATACAATTTTCATATTTCATATGTTTGAAAGAATATTTTAAACCAAGGCAAACGCTTGATGCATTGCGGGGTAAAGGGCAGGGAGGAGAGAAAAGGAAAACTTTTTGGTGCTTCTTTGGGCTTTGATTTGTATCAGAAGCAAGCTGTTAAACATGGTTTCATGCAAATGATGCACACCAAATGCTTCCAAAATTAGAAGGCCTGTAAATCCACTCTTTGCATGGCACAAGATGTTTAAAACCAAAATATGGCTCAACGGATGTTATTTACCTAAAGAAAAGTTACTCTGCACCACACACTCTTAAAACACAGATGACCAGAAAATCTGCTGAACACTAGTGTTGAGGCTGGCTGGTGGTAGGTCTTTAAAATCCTATACAGAGTCTCTCAAACCCACACACCTACAAGCATCAGTTAAATCAGCTGGCGTTCAGAGGGAAGTTCCTCACAAAACATTCATTTTTAAAACTTCTAAAACAGGCCACTGTCAGAAGTAACATACCCACACAATTCTTGACAGTGCTTATGTTCAGATATTAGCCATACAACTGTCAAAGCCAGTGGGGAAATGCAGATAAAGCTCTGCTCCACTTCAGAAGTGAGCTTCTTGGTCTCTCCTTCCACAAAATCCAGTTTTACGCAACTGCACCCTGTGGCACTCTGATATTGGCATGCTCCTGAAATACTCCACACTAATGCATCAATCCATGGTGAGCAGAAACCAAAACCAGCACCTGTAAGTTATCCCCTCTTGAATGGCTACAGAGTAGAAATGCAGTCTTTGACAGGAGGTATGGTAAGTCTCAAAATACATCCTGAAGCTTCTCTTCAGAGATCAGAGATGGATGGTACTCGGAGCCACAGCAAACGCTGATGGCAAAACACTTCTCCACAACACCTATCACTTCAGAGGCAGAGGACAAATAAGAGCAAATCCTCCATGTACCTTATCTGTTCTGGTGTTCCTCCCGATGTTGCGTTCGTAATAGCCCATGCTGCTTCTTTCCTCGTACGGAACTCTGCTTTCTGTAAGATTTCTATCAGCACTGGGAATATGTTAGCATCTATGACTGCCTGAGGAGAGGAGCAGCAAGTAGTATTTAGATCTGGCAACATGGTACATAGAAGACAATCAAGCTGTGGAACACGTACTTCTCCCCTTACCCACCCGTCTTTGGTATCAATGGAAAGGATGCAAATACGCTTTCTCTGCCATGTGTTATCAACATAAGACTTTCAGTTGCATAGCTAGAATGACAAGCGCAACCCCTTATTGCGTTAGCATCATGGAAGGACTTTGAGCCCTGTCTAGGTCTTTAGATTTAGGTCCTTAATTCTTTAAATCTAACAATGTGTCCCCATTTAAAGGAGCACCCTAGGTATACACCAACTTTGGAATGACAGAGAAGAGACAGATGCGATCCCCCTTCCCCTTATTCACTCAAGGATCAGATTCTCAGAGCTCATTTCCAAACCAGCCTGTCTTTGCAGGAACAGATCGTCTTGCTTGGATGTCTAGCAACATCTAGATTCAATTGAGTGTATCAGTTATTTTAACTGTACTTAGAATTAACTTCTCTGGAAAGGGGGAACTGGAGTATAAAGGCCTTTGAATTCATATTAAAAAACCCAAACATATAAGCTTGTCTCAGTGCTTTCACAAACCAAGCAGCATCACAGATCAGCCCAGAGAGGACTCCAGAAGCTGTACCTGTATTTGCGCCCTGTTTCCAGCTGTGATGTTAGAAATGGTCCAGCAAGCTTCTTTCCGGATTGACTCCTTGGGGCTGCTTAATAAATGAAGGAGGCAGGGCAGAGCTGAGCAGTTCAGGATCACCTGAAGAGAATTAAAAACAAAAGGGCAAGACCACACCATTAAGTTCAACACTTAGTTATTGCTTTCCTGTGCTTCTCATACAGTCTGATACGAGGTTGAGACACCTTCAGAGTCTTATAAAGAAACTTATTCTCTTGCCAGAGACCTGCCTGTGAATAAGATATTCCATTGTGTACCACTAGGGGGAAAGAGTACCTTTCCTATCCTTGAGGAGGAGACATTCCAGTTCCAAAAGGGGGAAGTGGCATTTGGGGAACAGGACACGGAGGGAGAAGCAAACCTTCTTCTGCCGCATCTTGCTCCTCAAAGACGACCTAGACCTTCGCTTGGACACCAAAAGGATGACGTTTCTGTGACTGGAGTTAAGACTTCTCCCTTGACAAATACTTCTCCCTTGACAAGACTTCCCCCTGTTCAAGTTTGCTGATGACACTAAGATGTGGGGGGATGTGGGCACATTAGAGGGGAGCAACAGGCTACAGTTGGACCTAGACAGGTTACAAGGATGGGTGGAGGAGAACAGGATGGGGTTTAACACGGACAAGTGTAAGGTGATGCACCTGGGGAGGAACAATCGGCACCACACATACAGGCTGGGGAACTCCCCTCTTGTCAGCACGGAGGTGGAAAAGGATCTGGGAGTCATTATTGACTCCA